TGGAACCGCTAAGGATGTCCCTATACTCATTCTTGACCCCCCAAATTGGTGACTTCATTAACTTTAAGGTCTTCTTCTTCATAGTGTTGTTTTCTTAGTTATAAATCAAGTTTAAATATTTTCTTTACCAATTGTTCACTTTATTTGAGCTTGACTATCAACCAACACATTTAGGATTATCTCTAGCCATGAAGCAGGTTTTGTTGCATGAGGTATGACATTACTATGAATTTCATACAATGGGTTACTTACGTATTGTCTAAATCAACGCTTAAAACTAGGACTACAGTTTATATGACCTGATATAGAGGCAGATAACAAGCTTTTTGGCTATATGGTGTTGTTCACAATGTGTCATCCCATTATTGTCATAAACTAATTTAAACATCTTATGCTTGCTAATCCAAAATGGACTAATATGATGATCCTTTAATCCTTCTCTACATAGTTATCTTTCTATCATAATAATAAAGAAAGTTGGTTAACAGGCCGAGAAACAAAGAATACTGCGTGAAAACTCAGGAAGATCATTGAATCCTGGTAATGAATGTAACAAGGACATCCAGGCTTCAACTATTACCAAGTTAGAAGTATTACATGACATCATCACTAAATCTGCATCCGCTAAGGGTAATGATAAACCCAGATTGGCAATGCTAAAGTTGGAAAATGAAGACAATCATAAAAATTCAAATTCAAAATCCAAGAAAATTGCTTCCAATACAAGCATCACTGCAGAAGTTACTGGCGACTTGAAGAAGCCTAGCAGACCAACTAGTTTCTTTGATAGGTAATGTTGTGTTTGATAGGGTATTGCAAGGCGTTTTACAAGACTTTGAGCGATGCAGTAAACTTTTATGTTTACCTGTTTCATAATCAGATTTAGGCAAGGATGTAACATTGACTCAAAGAATCATGTCAGCAATTTACAGAAGGCTGCTACTGCTGAAAGAGGTTCGAGGCCATTTCTCTTCAAATACAATGAGGTAAGTGCTGTTGTCGTCTCCATTATCAACGACTCAATAATTTCTTCAATACGATGCTTTGTATGATGACGACCCCCACAAAATTCTAGCATAATTAAGTATCGCTTCAGCTCAATCCCATCCCTTGCCTGAAAAACCATTGCTTGATAATCTTACAAAATTTAATGAGTTGGTTATTCTAAAAGTTGCCTATTGCAGGGCGTCACCAACGCTGTGAAGAGATCGGTGAAAATTGCTGCTCTGATGCAATTTATATTTTTTTAAGTTTGTTATTAACTGTCCACTGTTCTCATTCATTTTATAATTTCGCTTATATGTTTATGTTAATGGAAATTGTTGCATGTTGGACCATGGAAGTTGTTTTTGTAAATTGTGGAAGCATGAGAATTTTAAGTTGTCTTGGTTTTGCAAATTAAAATAAATAAATAAACGGTAGCGTGAAAATATTGAAAGAGAAAAATAGCTAGGTTTAATCTAATATTGAAAATCATTTTTTATTAAAATTTTGCATAAAAGTGGCAACTTCGAAACATTCGGAAAGATTTATAAAGTTGTCACTTTTTTTTCAAAAAAAAAAATAAAGTTGTCACTTATGCATACTAAAAGTCTCGTTTATATTAAAATAAAATATTGAACTGCTAAAATAGCTTTTGTATATTCGCAAATCAATGTGGTCTTCACAGAGCGGTATTTCTTGTTATTGCCAAACAATACCTAGCAATACCGAACAAATACCGAGTTGTACCGAGTTTTTACCTAGCAATACACGAACATAGCATTCCTGGGTTCCGGACCGAGTCAAATCGTCGGGCCGCGCGGTAAAGAGCAAGAGCACATGGCGACATGTTATTTGCGGCCGAACGTAGCTCTACGTCCGGTCAGAGGACGTAGCTCTACGTCCGGTCAGAGTAGGTAGAGAACCTAGAACTAATGTTGAAGATGATCTCCCCGAAGCCACCAAGGAACTAGTGGAGCAACTCAAAGAAGATGACAATCACCTCGCTTGGAGCAACCTTTATGATTCTCTCACAAACTCTCCCTCACAAGGATATCTATCTCTCAAGCTCTCCCTCTTCCTTCTCTAAGCTTCCTCTTGGATCAACTCCATAGCAAAAGATTAACCCAAGGGTTAATATAATTGCTTAAATAGAGATCCTCCAAAGAAGCCCTAATTTTCAATTCTACGTAACTGTTCGTCAAGGATAATCGACAAATTATCCTGTACGATTAGTACAAAATAGCCCTATCAGCTAGGACGATCACCTTTTCTCTATACGATCAGTACAAGTATTTGTACAGATCGTCTAGAATGATCTTGCGATCAGCCGGGATGATTAGTTCAACATACCATATTGATCGTCTAGTACTACATTGGACGATGGGTGGTGATCTCCATATCGTCCCAAAAACATCTCAGGACGTCCAGGACGATCATCTTGGATGATTAGAGTAAAGTTATGATTTTTCGTATTGGATGATTGGGAATCGTCCCACAAAATATACTAAATTGTTCAGTACAATCAAGATGGATAGTCTTATATGATATGATTCAATAATTTAATCATAATTACTCTCCTAATCACCGGATCTATTTCAATATAATTGTCATAAATCATCTAGGATGATGCATATCGTCTTGTACGATTAGAATAAAATTTGAAACTTAAAACATAACCTAAATTGAGATTAGTGACTATTTTCATTATTTAAGTTGATCGTCCAATACAATTAGTTTAATCACTTGTAATTAGTTGAATGTCTTAATTAGGGTTTCTATTTTTAATGGATCGTCCAATATGATCTCAAATCGTCATATATGATTTGATCAAAATTAGAACAAATCTCTAACTCACCAAATTTCTCTCCTGAGTGTGTGTAAGATTACTTAGCCTGGGGTCCACCATATTCAAGATTTTACTCAAGAAAGATAAAAAATATATTGATATGAAATTACAAACAAACTCAACTTTACTACCCGTTCTTGAGCTGATTTGCATTGCAAGTGATCTTTGTGGACCTGAAATGTTAGTAAGCAGGGCAAACAAAATAGATATTTAATAATAGTAGCGGTGAGGAAATAATAATATTTATTATCATCAAAATCAAAGTATTTGAATCCAAATTTGGAACACACTCACCTATACTGGAGGGGGACTACTCGCTCAATCAACATGAGAGCCTCACCAAAGCCTATCCTGAGCAGGAAATTTTGTTGATATGTGACATCCCTTTTATGAGACTCACAACCTCATTTACCCAATTAATATGTTTGTTTGACTACTCACCCCAAAAATTTGTCTACATTTACTCACTCATTTCTGATGTGTACCAACTATAATTTTATATGCATGTTTGTACATATCTTATCATATATTTTTATTTATTTATTTATGTGATTTAGGGTCAATCTCTCATGTAGGGCATAAAACCTAATTAATATGAGGTCAAAGGGCTATTTTGGGGACATATACAATGTTTTCAGACATTTCTTATCTGCTATAAAATCTTATCGCTTTTGTCTTTGTCTTTTCTCTTTCTTTTCCCCCTTTTCTCTACTTGAATATTGTGATCTTTCAAGTGAGATTCTAGTATTATCACATATGTATTTGGATTTAATACTTTCCATCATGCCATAGTTAACCCTAGGTTTTCTATGATATACAGCTCCATTTCCTCAAAATGTACTAGCCTTGACATAAAATAATAAAGGCCATATCATTATCTCTTTCTGAACAAGTAAGCCCTAAACATAATAATAAGATAAAGTTTGTAGTAAAATGATATAATAGATTTATCACTAATGGATTAAGGAATTGCAAATATTTAGATAACCTCTATGGTTGAAAAAAGTGAAAGAAAATGATGCACACAAGAATTTTCATGACCAATGAATGTGTATTAAATTTTTAGATTCAAAGTGGGTGATTGTTGGCTATGGAGTTTAAATTCCATTAATCATTTTTAATAAGATTTAGTTTTGATTTTGAAGATTGTTGGCTATTGAACTCAAGACTCGTTCACATTAATTTCATATGATTTGTTGGTATAAAGGTCAATAAATATTTATACTAAGGGAACACATGCTTGGGACAATTTTGAGTGTAATACACTTGAAATGTGAGTTTTTTTTTTTTTTGCTTGTTTTGCTAGAAGTAAAGTAAATATTTTTTTCTTAAGTGGTTGAAACTCACTTGATAAGCTATTTTTAGTGTATTCTAAATTAGCTAAAATAGAGTGTATTTAGAGTACACCGCATCATGATGAAGAACTTCGGACATAACAACCCTCACCTCTACCTTTGATTACTCATCTGAACCTTGCCCCCTACTATGCCTAGAACACTTTTATCGTAAACTTACAATTTCCTCTGCCATCGCCAATAAGCCCTCGCCATACTCACCAACTTTGTGCTTTGACGCAAGAAGTTATTAAAAAGATTAAATTTTTTATTCACTTCACGAGTCCTTCGATTGGGTAACCCAACCTCATGCACTAACATTTAAAAAAAAAGATTCACTCTAAAGCAATGAAAACATTAAAAATAAATAGGGTGGTTTACATATGCATCAAAAGAAAATTTATGTATGTTTATATCTAACCCAAAATCTTTATATATATTTATATAATGCTCAAATTTTTAATTTTTATCAAATATATTATTAATATAAACTCATTTAAAATAAAATAAAATATTTTATGAACATATTTTAATGTGATTTAGGTGCTAACGATATATATATATAAATCCAATTTTACTTTACCACTAATCAAACACTAATAGATATTTCAAATGCATTGAATTCATTTTATATTATATTTAGAATGCATATGAATTTTAAATATTACAACCATTATCTCATAATACTAAAACAATAACTAAAAAATCAGTACTAATATGACATGGAGAGCAACACAGAAGAGCAATGGTTTAATCGGAAAAAAAAAAAAAAACTTGCTTTAATTTCTTCTTTCTAGTAAAGAAATGTTGCCTGCTTACCAACTTCTAACCCGCGTTTCATCTCTTCTTCCAAAAAGAAAAAAAAAAAAAAAGCAAGGGTAGGCTGATGGCGTTTTTTATGGTTGCGGGCTCGGAACCCCAAACCGATAGACAAAGGGAGGACTTGTATGCCATTGCTGCCCTCAACGAGTCTGCTGTGATAGAACTCAAGGTGAATCTCCTTCTCCTGGATTTCTCATGCCATCCGTTCCGAGCGCAGGAGCGGAGCAATTAGTATGCGAAAATGGGGAAGAGGCTTTACTCGGATGCTATCGCTTGCTGCATCAGGGCAATCAGTCAGAATTCCTTGAGCGATTCAGATAAGTGGGTCCTTTTTTCTAATCTTGCCCATGTGAATTTTATGTTAGGAAATTACAGATGCGGAAGAGGCAATCAAACTCTGCTCGACCAATGTTAAGGTTGATATTCTGCTTCAATTTCTCAAAGGAGCTCATTTGGTTGCTTGTAGTTTGAAATTATGTTTTCACTCGTTTGGAGTGCGAAAAATGCAATGTGCAACTTTTGCTGAGTTATACGGAGGTTTCTAGTGTTTGAAATTAATTGTAATTTCTATTTCTATGAAGCCAAATGATGCATTCTTTATTGTTTTGAAAAACCTATTTTGGAATTCAAGCATCCAAATGAGCTGTAACTGCTAGATTTGTCTGTGAATGAATTCTGGATCTTACCAGTAGGACTGCAAGGTTATTAGCAGAACTAAAAAAGAGAGACAAAGGCAAAAGATATTATATAAATAAATGGCATCGAAGTGGGAGAATCTCCCAGGATTTTATTGTTGATATATCATCAAAAAATTATCTTGATCGGGAACGAATCTTTAGGCAAAATCAAGTTGGAAACTTTCAAAATTAAAATTAAGACCATCCAATCTCCGATTTCAGCAAACTTATAGTTGAATTGAACGTCTCAAAATTACAAACCCAACAACACCAAATTCAATCAATCAGAGCCCAAATGGGACCAAATCGAAGAACCGAAATGCATTTGGAAGGTTCAAATCATAAATTAGATGACCAAACGGCTTTCAAACATGACATGCTTATAGCTGATTCGAGCGGCTTGACGAGACGAATCTAACAAGCCCAAGATCATCAAATTATGAATTATGATATCATTAAGACATTCAAATGATTAGTAAAATGTCTATGATCAAGGTAATCAACATCGGTTGTCCATTCAAATCACTCCCAACTTACCCTTGATCTCCCTCCTATTTACTGGCCATGCCACTCTTAGAAAACTATAATTAGACCCATCATTCCTCATGGAAAAGTTGTCAAGGAAGAAGAGAGCAGAGGAAGACAAATCAGAGATTTATCTTGTCACCAAGCTCCTCAATCACCTCTCGGCCACCGATTGTTGTCGGATTTTTGTCGAACTTTTGCCAGGCCACCGACTGACGTTGAACTTACACCTGGCCACCAAGTAACGCCGGATTTCCTCCCGGCAAAGGACTGACGCCGAACTTCTTCCCGGCCACCAACTGACGTAAGACTTCCACCCGACCACAGACTTACATCGGACTTTTGTCTGGTCACCAACTAACGCTAGACTTCTTCCCAACTACCAATTGATGTTAGACTTCCACCCGGCCATCGACTACAGTCCTTCCGACCTTTGTCACAAGACAACAAACTTTCTTACCACTGTCGCCTCCTGACTACTGTTCTTACGAACTTCGTCGCCAAATTATGGTCCTTCCGACCTCCGTCACCAGACAACTGTCTTTCTGACCAATGTTACCCATCGATTATGGTCCTTTCGACCTTCATTGTTGGACTACGGTCTTTCCGACCTACATCGCTTGTTGACTATGGTCATTCCGACCTTTGTTGCCCGTCATGTACAGTCCTTCTGACCACCGTCATCCGAATACGATCTTTCTTACCTCCATCGCCCACCGACTATGGTCCTGCCAAGCTAACGAATATGTTAATACTGATTCTTCCAATTTCCACCATGTAATGCATTCTATATGATGTATATTTGTTATATCAAACAAAGGCCTTTTGATGTGAAACTATCATGTGATGATTTGAGAATTGCACTTGAAATTAAACAAGATCCTGAACCAAGCTTGCAAATACTAGTTGATTCATTCAAACTGGGCTATCCCCATGGTTTTTCTTCTTTTTAGGATTTTCCACGTAAAAATCTTTGTCTCTTATAAATATATTGCACACTCTCTTTTCATCTGATTGTGTGTTGGATCTTCGTATAAAGTGAAGACCCTAAACTTTATATTTCTTGACCACCATGAATATTCCAGGACGCAACAATTGTTAAAAATGATTAGAATAACGTGATCTATCGGTCTCCTAAAATGACCTTATGATCACATATATGGTAGGGTTTTGTGCACTCTAAGGAAATTTAGTTAAAGAAGAATATATTTCCTTACATAAGACATGTAGTCTAAAGTATAGCTAAGACATATATAAGAACCTTTCAACGCCAATCTCTACGCACCTTTCTTCCTATCAGGCCATGGATCGTATTTCAAAAATTTCTACAGGAGATCTTGCTATGTAGCTAGTGCAAAAGAATAAAGATAGGTTGGCTAGCAGGGATTTTAGTGAAAAAAAAAGTGACGTCTTTTTTTTTTTTTCGTTCTTTTTTTTTTTTTATTTGCGTGCGAGTAATACAATATATGATAAAGAAATATTTGTATACGTTCAAGATAAAAGAAACAATAAAAAACATTCACCAATTCTTGGTTCCAGTACAAAACATTCAAACTACAACAAAGTGATTTAAAAACAATATATCTACTTAGACCTGAAAAAGATTGTCGAATACAATTTGGAATTTGAAAACAAGGTTAAGGAAGTAGTGAAAATAGTTGAAGATGATGTCGTTTCTCCAGGAAGAAAAGAAAGTTTGATTTGTTATGTTGTCCCATGCATCGCTTTCATATTTAGCAGCCAGATTTCAATTGACTAAAGAACCAACATTTGTTAAAAGTTTCTTGACAAGAGGAGCTCTAAGAGGGCTATGCCGTTAAACTAAAGAATGAAACAAAAGTCCGCCAAGGCCTCAGTGTGTTCTGTTTTTTTTTTTTTTTCACAGAAATTGACGACAAATATGTTCAATTCAATTCAAAACTTCCTTAGGAACCTCAACATGAGTCATAATATATGTTGGAATATCCAACAATATTATGACTGAGCTAATGAACTTCATCTTATTTGGTAAAATTCCGACCATCTCTAAGTTCACAAAAATATGTGGATGGAGAGATATGCTGCAATTTGGAACTGATTAAGCTAGCAACTTTGTCGCTAACTTAGTGTGGCTCTGGCTCACCACTAAGTTGCATGTCGTTGTGAACACTTAGTGTGGCTGCATATAAAGTGACAAAGCCTCAACATTTTTTCAACATGTTGGCAATGAGAGTTTGCCTTAACAACTAACTTCAAATTAAATTAATGGCGAGCTGTTAAACAAGTGCGCTTCCAATTTTAGCCCAATAATCTAAATTCATCCTCTCCAATTTCTTGTCTTCCTTCATCACCTCATCTAAAATCAAAGATGGATTCAAATCTTCACTGAGTTTTCAATTATATATCATAAATATCATACAGGATTTATATATAAGTTAACCTAATTAGTTATCTAATTTGAAATGATGGATCTTCTTAATGTAAAGGAAGAATAACAATTAAAAATATGGAGGTCTATGGGCTAAATTCGACATGCCTTCAAATATAAGACACGTGAGAATCTAGTTGAATTTGGTAGGAATGTCACGAGAGGCCGCCAATTAATGATAAAGGAAAGAGTACTAGGACCGACAAAGACCAAAGTTATGCCTCCTGTTGTTGTGATGGAAATCTTGCAAGTTGCCCTAGGTTGGTTGACGTTTTACTGTAACCTAAACACTTCGATGATGCCTTGCTTTAAATATATAATTTTATTTTTCTCATTAAAAGGCTTATATATATATATATAAACTTTTAAGGCTTAGAAGAAACAAAAGGCCGTCTATTCCAAAGGAACACGGCCGTGTCGGCCAATGGTAGTTTGATTGCATCACAAGCATTCTAAGAAAGGCACAAACGTTAAGAAATTTTAAGCATCCCATAAGGAATAATACAATACTTCGCACTGAAGCCTTATTGCTGTTGATGTAAGCCTTTTACCTTCTTGATAACTATCTATTGATGGACAACAAAAATCATTATAAAAATAAAATAAAGGACCCCCTGCAAAAGAAAATGATCAAGGCAAGGCCCTTGATAAAGAGGAGGATGAGACATGAAAATGCAATAAAATATTTAAGGCGGATGCCTTGAATATCTATCTAGATAACCAAAACAAAAGGGTATTTTATTTTGACACTGTTTAAAATATCAATATTGTACAATTATATAGTTACTACAAACAAATAAGATTTAATATCTATGTATCAATTTAATCGATAACCAAGATAGAGAGGAATTATTGTTGAATTTTTGAAAGCATAAAGCAAGGGCATGGCTAAATAGAAAATTTGCAAATGAATAAAAGAATCAAAGGCATATATTACTACTTTTATACAAATAAATATTGAATATTTCATTCATTCAAACAGCTGCACAGAGAGATCGTTATCATTTTCATAAATCTCTCTCACAGTTGACAAATTACTCTCTTTTCAAAAGTCATATCTCTTACAATATTCCAAAAAAAAAAAAAAGCAAACACATAAGGATTCCAATACTTAATCAATCAATATAGCACAAATCTTTGTCATCAAGATGCCATCATAAAATGATCAAAGAAATATGCATTTAGTAAGAAATGGGATTAAGAAATATTGGCATCTATAATTGAGAGTTTTATCTACATTGCCTTAGAAATGTAACAAATTAACTAATAGGGATTTCACCAATTAGAAATATTAATTTCGTAAAACTAAAATAAACAGTAATCTTTATAATTGTGATTAATGGTTCCACTATTTATGCATAAAAAGAACATTTTTTGCGAGGTCAAAAATAATAATTTCCCCTAAAATATAAGAGGATGAAATTTGATTTCTTTTACATTTGAGCAAACAAGTCTAACAAAATGAAATTGAATCTAATCAACTTGCTATACATATATTATGCTATGTTTATTTTAGTATTTTGAGGTATGAATCTAATCAACTATATTTGGTTTACTTTCCTTTCCTATCAAATTAATGAATGAATAAATAAAATATAGTACAAAATGCCTATGAAGAATAAAGTTATGCAATAAAGTAATTTAGTTGTGCTTGAAATTATTCCGATGGAATAGAATGTGAAACGATAGAATTTTCCCCTTTAACTTCTTTTTTTAAATATATATTTAACGTGGAAAGATGCTAATGGAGTTCTTTTGAACAAAGAATATGAAGGACTTATTTTCTATCAGATGAATAATAAGATACATATTGCGCATTTTTTTTTTTGAATGACATCAGAAGGTATATATTATTTATATGATATAATTGATACGACATCGCAAAATCATCTTGATCGGGCACAAATCTCGAGGCAAAACCTAGTTGGAAACTTCAAAAATTAATTTCGGGAGCATATGAACTCCGATTTCTGCGAGCTTACAGTCAAACTGAGCGTCTCAGAAATACAAACCCAACGACACCAAGATTAACCCAATCCGAGCCCAAATGAGTCCGAATCAAAGGTAACAAGAAAATTTTTA